TGAAAAAATAAGATCGAGATAATAAGGATAACAAGTAGAATTACAATTAATGGATTATATTGTTCACAATGTTTCATTAAATTATCTTTAAAAATAACATTGCAAAACTAACATAATTTACAATTAATTTTTTCATAATTTTATATGCCTCAATACCTCCATTTTCTCCAGTTGATCCTTTGTTGCAACTTGCATCTGCTTCCCCACTATCTTCTCCTTGTGCCATTGCAACAATAAATTGTAATATAAATAACTTATATGTATCTATTAATTTAATATATTTTCGAAAAGTCATATTATCAGAAAAATTTATGGGTAAATTAAATAAGTTAGTTAACGGTATGTAAATCAAACGTATATGACATTTTTTTAATTCTTTTCTATCCTCTAAACATATATCATAGTCAAACATAAATAATTCACTACTATTAAAATACACTGATATATATGACCGCTTTTTGCTTTTTTCAGATGGTTTTTTAGATGCTTTAATATTTTCCTTCATATTATGATTTCAATGCCAGCATAAACAATAATAATACTATACACGTTATTAATATATGTTTGTTTTTATTATTTATATAATAATGTTCTCTAATAAGTAAATAATTTATTTGAATAATAAATACATGAATTACGCTAAAAACATACTGGTTACATGCTATATCATATAATACAGATGTAACAATATGTTCTCTTTTAACCAGAGTAAATCAGATTATATAATTTATGGTGTTGTACCATAGATAAACGAGTGCATTTATTATTAATTCGATAATAAGCACTTTTTAAATTGCATAACAATGTAATATTATAATTCGTATTGTAAAACGAATTTTACATAAATAGTGTTTTAAAAATAAATATTGTTTTACGCTGTAAATATCTTCCAATAGTGTTTAATTTATACTTTACTATTGTACATGGTTATACATGTCTTTTCATTTGAGTAACTTTATGTATGTAAACTAAAATAGTATTTAATATATATTAATACTTAAAAAAATTTACAACCAATAAAAAAATATTTTTTTTAAGTGAATATCATATATAAGTAAATTATATATATATTTCTATGTAAAATTATGTATTAAAATGCAGAACACTTTTTATGCACTAAGTATAATGAAGATTTTTATTCCTTTTTGGAAAATAAAAAAACAGATAAAATAGCAAAATTACAGGTTAAAAAAATGATATTTTATAAATTAATACCTCTAAAAAAAAATACATGAGTATTTAATTATGCGATCCATTTAGATAATTTTATGATAATGTTTAAAATCACTACGTATGTTTTCATAAACTTAATGTATAAAATTTTCTGATGCATAGTACACTCTACAAATATGCAAAATATGTTATAAATTATAAAATGTACTCATTAACACATTTAGGTCAAATTTAAGGAAATAAAAGGAACTATATCATAAAAGATTTTTAAAAGAAAAATTTTTCTCATTCATATGAATATTTCCTGTAAAAGTTAGAAGATTTTTTTATATTTTGATAGATTATCATATAATATATTATTTTTTTCATTGTTATTATGTTTAACCTTTGTAAATAATCAAGTTTATTAAGTTTTATCTATTGAAATATTCTTATGTATTTAAAGAAAGTAATTATAAACTAAAAAATATTTATTTTTTACTATAAGTTTGGAGTTTATTAGATAATACTGAAATAATCTTACTGTTTCTTATTACAAATTTGTGTATGTAATTATGTATGAACTATATGTTTTTCCCCAAGCTGCAAATAGCAATAGACATATTTGTTGTGTGTTAATTTTTTTCAAAGTTTCTTTTATTTATATGCTAAATA